CGGGGCTGCTGAAAAATGAAGGCTGACTCATGTCACTCAGGTGGGTGCTGCACTGGTGGGTGATGTGACTTCATTCCTATGTGCAAAGTGCTTCGGGAATTTGGGATAAAAATGCATCAATAATAAGCATTTCACGTGTATTCACATAGAGCAGGGCTGTGGGTGATGTGACTTCATTCCAATGTGCAAAGTGCTTTGGGAGTTCTTGGGATAAAAACGCTATACAAATGTACCAATAATAAGCATTTCACTTATATTCACACACAGCAGGGACCCAACTAACTGTCAAATATATCTTTTCTAAAGCAATGCATTTTTTACATCATTATCAGTTTCATTATGAAACTATTAACCTACGCCAAAAGAAGAGTTTATGTCCCTGGAAACTGAATATTTTTTGTCAAAGTTTTTAAAAGCAATTTTTGGGAACCAAACACTCTTACGGTCCATCTGTGTGTGTCATGCCGTATATACTTCAGGAAGAAAATGTAACTACTCGTGAAACGAATGTCCTTCAAGAGAAATAATTTGTTTTAGTCTTTATGCATCCTTTCTGTTCATGTTAACCCTAAGTTAAGGTGTGAAAAGGCAGTTAAGGTGTTTAAGAAAAGCTGCATCATGGATGTTTATATGAAAAATAAACATCACTTTTACCTAGGTAGGCTACCGCTGAGTACCTTAACTGTGTAAAATATGAGTACTATGTAAACACTAAAGAGCAGACCAATACATTTTCTACTCATCAGAAAAATAAAAACTTTATAAACTGGAAAAAGAAACAGAATTTCAGAATATGTTCTGACTCAATAAACTTACTGGAGAATAGTGATGGTAATTAGAAAATAGGTATTCTTTAATGCAATTTGCAATTTCTACTGTTTACTTCTAACTTAGAAGCTTACACCATACAGAAACATGCATCCTACATGATTTATGCACTGTTACATTTTACATTTAAGATTGCATTTTTATTCTATAAGTAAGGCAGAGAAACTATCCATAGACTTGTGCGGAACACCAAGACAAAGTCTTCGAATTATTTTATTCTCGTAGGGGAGATTATGAATTAGAGCAATAAATAAAAGCAAGTGAGAAAGACATCCATATACATCTTGTGCACAAAACTACTCAATCAGAAATATTTTGGGCTGCCTCGAAAACAACTCAAACTTACAACTGCACGGGTGAGAGCTCCGATCGCTACTTTGTGGTCTATGAAGAAAAGTGCAGTTCTTTCGGCTGACCTGAACAACCAGGTCTTCAAATTGAAAGATGCTAAAAAAAAAAAACACCCATCCCTTTTTGAATCACTTCTTCCAATTCAGGGTTACAGGGGAGCTGGAGCCTGGCGCAAGGCAGGGTTCACCCAGGTGGGGACACAGACACAAACACACCGGGCCAGTTTTCCTGAAGGGACCCTCATGCAAACACGGGGAGAACATACAAACTCCACCCAGACAGGCACCCCAGGTCCAGCATTGAACTGAACGGCCGGCCCTGCAAGGCACCTAACCCCTCCTTGCAAAAATTACAACGGTTTCCCCAAAGCAGCCCACGGGGGTTAATCAGCAGTAACACATCAACACACGCATGGCCTCAGCAGCTCCTCCACCAGGTGCAGGGATGGCCTAGCAGTACCCTGGAGATGAGATCGCAGCAGGCTGGGTCAGCCCACCTGGGAGGGAGACAGCTGCCATGGCTGGATGAATGACTTGCACCTGACACCTCAGCCCAGCCACCCTTGTTTAGTCTGGGATGTATTGCATGAGAATAATTATTATGTATTATGTATTGCTCGTCAGCCTCCATTCAATAGGCCTCCCCTTGTCCACACACACTGTCACTGGCTGGTTCATCAAAGCCTGTGTGCAAACAGCCTCTTTGCCTTCAGCAGAATAACGTGTTTCAATCTACATTTAAGTATTCAAGCTGGGACAAACCAGTACTACTACCATGTCCATCACCTGGGCAGCTGACCCACCTGCGATCCTCCGACTTGGGGATGGGATTGGTGCAGCGCTGGCTGTTGTACTTGGCCACATATTCACACTGCTTGAAGGGCGCGGTCTTGTCTTCGAGGACGTGGCGGATGCAGAAAGCGTAGCCGTTGAGCCGCCGCTGCTTGCAGAGCTTGGGGCTGTACGAGCACAATGGCTTATTGTCCACCTCCGAGAAGTGTATGTGTTTGCCTTCATACATCACGTGACTCTTGTCCTTGTGAACATCAGCTGATGAGGTAAAGCAGGATAAAAAAAAAAAAGACAAAAAAAAAGGAAAAGGTTACTTCACCACCCAGCTGGCCGACTGGCTGAATCCTGAGAGGGAGCACACGTTTAAAAAAACACGGACGAGGGTAAACAGTTCGGCGAGAGGTGTACAGCTCCCATTGTCCGATACGTGTTACTTAAATTTCAACTGCTGTTTCGCAAGTCTACAAATTTAATGTTAAGAATATTTCAAAATGCTGCTACAGTGTTAAACAAACAATACAAAGTATATCCTAAGAAGGTTAATGCAATGTTCTCAGCATTACTTGGAAAAGTACGCATTCTGTTCTGCTCTTAAACTCTTCACTATGCATATATACACACACCGTTCTGTAAAAACATCAATGGAATTATTATACATGGGGGACAAAATATAAGAATATAACTACAACAGATTCACAAAGTATCAATTTTTGTAGCTGATGCGCTGATGTTTAATTTGACAGACATGACACAGGTAAGGCCATTTCACTGACACTACCAGTGTTTGTATAAGGGGTTGCCGGCTGAAAGCAGTACAAGCCGTGCTCCTGTGATGCATGCTCTGTCTTGTACCTGTTCACTGGTCTCTAAACCCGAGATGCCACACGTTATCCCAGCTCATCCCATAAATGGACAATCGGTAGAGCATCTATGGCATAACTGTCCCATTCTCATCTTACAAGAAAGCCATAACATGGACACGATGCTAAGATTGTCCTACAGAGAGGGTAGCCACTGAAGTACTAGGACTTGGATCAGGGTTTTGCTATGCAATTAGGTTACTGTCAATCCGTATATGTGGAATTTTTGTTATCAAAAATTAAATTACACTTGGATCCACCGTTGTGTAGCCAGTGTATAACGATTCATGTAATATTCCGCAAGCCTGTATCATACTCGCTGTGTCATCTATCAAGGTAGTTTACACATAACCTTGAATCATTACTAAGAACCACTGCTGGTGAGCCCACCTGTGATCTAGCTTCGACATACTGAGGGCACATGGGAATCATTCTCTTGATGAGTGGGGATGATTTCTTAACGTTTTTTCTTTCGCTAAGCTTCACATTAAAGAGGTTAATTGACCTCAGCAGCTGTGCTGAATCAACTATCACTCTAATGAGGTGATTTAATGCTTATGCAATATTTAAAGTCCTCCGAGTGTATTATTGTCCGGCATGAATGATTAATCATAAAAAACATTTACGATTCCAAATCCGTATGCTTCACTTTTCTAACAACATACATGCATTATTTTCTTATGGGGTGCAGTACAGTTAGTTGTTTCTCAATTATCAGCATGTCTAAAATCTCACACTTATTAAAATCTGTTGCAAGTCTAAAGCAAAGTTAAAGCAGATTGCCTCCTGGGATAGGATATGTCTACCTGAACTGTTTCTCTTTCTATCAACAGAAAAAAAACAAAAAAACTGAATAATGGTACGGACCTTTCATACAAAGAAACTAAATACGGAAACAAGCAAATCCATGTTTATCCGTAAAAAAACATGGGAAGATATAGCAAGTTCATGTCAAGTGTCCGTTAATTTTGAAGCAAAAAAAAAAACAGTTTACACTACAACCCATCACAAGTGTTCAGTTCTCTTATCTAGAGCAGAAGGCCTCCAGGTTGGGGTACCTGAAAATGGGGGGCAAAAGTCACAAGGCATGTTTGGAGGAATTCTTCAGCTGAAACAGGACAGCTGCATAATCCAAATTACCTTAAAGCTGTGGCTAAATCGACTTTCCTTTCACAATCGATTGGTATAGTATCGCATACTGATACTTTAAACATGTTCCTGTACACAGACTAAATGGTTTTCAATCAGAATCGAAAAGGTAACGCATAGGAGGAGGATGGTCAACCTGCATGTGAAAGTCATCTGGCTCCATTTTTCTTGTTCGAGAATCAGGCCTGGCTTTACCGGGAACACCAGAGAAGTTTGAAATGCTTTTGGATTTGGAGAATCTCCCTACGAGCTCACTGCTTAAGAAGAAACGACTACTGGGAGGGTATTACTTAGTCTCTGTGACACAGTGCCTTCCACTGTATTTTCATGGGAGAGCAACAGCGAGGCGTGCCACTATTTGACTACAGAATTGGTTAATGCTGTTCAATGACGAATTAAACCAACTTCAAAGAGATAGTAAGGGTCTTAGGAGTGATTTTATACCCTTCTGATTTGTACTTTTATACAACTTTATCACTCAAGTGGTTTTAATGCTTTCATGGTCAAATCTTTGCTTCAACTTCACTACCTGACAGAGAGACCTTGCAGAGATAGGTGTTAAATCCAGATTTTCATTTTACTTGTACTATGTGCGCTATTTGTTCTGAAACCACGCACCTCTGAGTCACACAATTAGTTGAGAGACCTCCGTTTGTGAGCAATTATAACACACAAAGGACTCTCTACTAGCTACATGGCTCGTTAAGGTAATTTCGAGCACATAATTTAATTTAATTTTTATTCATTATTTTTTATACTGATTATATAGTAACAGTACGTGTTGCTTTTTGCTTTGAGTGGAGTAGATTGTATATGTAACAGGTTTGCTACTTTAAAGTGACAGGACTGCAAATCTCAGAACAAAGTATGAAAACTGCACAGGGATCTGGATACTTTTGGAAAGATACTGCGCAATAATCGTCTGTAAAACAGGTTATTTTCTCTGCCTCCTCGTTTACAACAGATGTCTAGCAAATGTATTTAAAAAAAAAACATTTGCACTATTTACATTTATAAGCAATTCATAAAAAACAGCTATCAGAAATGCGAGCAGAAGAACACACCCTCTCCTACCCTCCCTCCCATCCCCCCTATAGAACTGAAAAAGACCAACCAAAAAGCCCATGACTACAACAATGATAGGAATAACAAATGTAGTTTATTATTAGCTAACTGGAGGTACGTTCTATCTCTATTCTGGTTTTAAAGCCACC